TCAGTACCTTGTGTTGGAGGTGTGCCATCGTGTGCTTTGTGGGAGAAGAGTAAGCAGTTACCTGGTTAGGGTGACACACATTAATTACTTCATGGTGAATGAACGTCTTTTCTTTTAACAAGCGATGCATAGAGTAATACACTTGGAACTGTACAGTTTGTTCTTCCGTAGTCATCTACTGACTTTAGTATTCTAATCAGTTACTGATGTGAACATTTACTATTGTGTATCTTTAAAAACAGCCACTGCAGCTTCCTGCTGCCTTAGCATCTGGTGCTGTCTGTTCACGGTTGTTTATTCCATGGGCAACGCTTTGCTGTGGGTCTCAGGCTGCTGCTGTTAGTAGTGTATCCATCCTCTCTGTACAGTGTCTGTGAGTTTGCATGAATATGTGCTGGAAGCTGGTGGCAGTGATTTCAGTACCTTGCTGGGCGGTTGTGTGGCACAGGCCTTTAATCCCAGCAGAGGTAGGCAGATGTCTGTGTTTGAGGCCAGCCTGGTTTGCAGAGCAAGTTCTAGGAAAACCAAAGTTACACAGAGAATCCCTGACTTGAAAAGACAAACAGAACTTGAGTTTGTATTTTGTGGAGTATTTACATGGTTTTGGTGATAGCATTCCGTTAAGAGGTCGTTTGACTGACTGTCTTATAGAGACCATACTGACTGTCAGTGAATGCAGACATCCATTCATTTGAAAGTTCCCATTGGCTTTTCTCTGGAGAGCTAGCATGGGCTGTCATCGCTACAGGGGGCGTTATTGTCCAGGGCGGGAGTGGGCTGTGAGTGTTGGTTTTCTCGTGGTTTCCTTCTCTCCTGCATCAGTTACTTGGATTTTTCCTGGTGTGTTCGTGTCTGCTTTGTCTCTGTGTGCATCTCCCTGAAGAGTGCTACAGAAGAACATAGTTTTGCGTCTCTTCAGAGAATGTGTTCTTGTACTGCAGTGATCCTTGAGACTGCTCCTCAGCTTTTGTTTTAGTATTACTGGGATTCAAACCCAGGGCCCTGCACATGCCAGGCAAGCGCTGCATGCACAACTCCTCAGTCTTCTTACCTGTAAGCTGGGGATAATTGCTTCTCCATGTACTATAACAGTACCGCGTGGTGTTGTTCGGTGCTGATGCAGGAACCGTCTTCATCTGGGCTGTAATTGGGTGAGTGTTTGCCTAGTGTGTGGGAGGCTCAGGAATAAGTACCCGGCGCTAGTGATTGTTAGAGTCAGTGTAGCAATTCAGTTCTGTTGGAGACGGGATGGAGAAGGTAGAAGTTCTTGTGTTGCCATCCCCAGGAAGCTTGGGCTTGCATTTGTATAGCTCGAGCTTAGGGAATTGCTGCCTGCCTGCCTGCTTGCCTTGAGAGTGTGTGGGAGCAATCATCAGAAAAGAACAAATACAAAGAAAGCAACACATGCAGACTGAAATATGCAGCTATTCCGAAGTGGAGTTAGCACAGGGAAGGGAAGTCGTGGCAGGAGCTGGTGGCACCTCCAGACACAGGGACCTGCTGACATTTTTATTTCAGCACAGGGCTTTCTTGCTTTGACTGACTGACCTGACATTCTACATACACCTATTTGTAGCTGCTTGACATTAGGGAAAGAGGTAATCTACTCTTTCTGACCTTGAGGTCTGCCCTCTCATACGTTACAAAGCCAGTCTTGGCACGCTGGTGGCTGTGCAGGAGGTTGAAGCTGGGCGGTCTCTGCGCAGTACTTGTGAGTGGGCACCTGCTCAGGTGGTGCCCAGGTGCTCACACAGCTGTGCAAAGTGTTAGATGATGTTGTAGAAGGAAACCAGGGCAGGAGGGATTGAGGTGGCCAGGGGACAGAGACCTAAGGGGAAGGAAGGACAAGTTCTGAGCCTGAGATCACACAGGTTATTGCACTCAGACATGTGAGTGCTTCGGGGGTCCATGATTGTCTCTCTTAGTGTCCTTGTTACCTAGCTCCTCTGGAGCTGTGGGTTGTAGTCTGGCTATCCTCGGCTTCACATCAATACCCACTTATGAGTGAGTACATAACCGTGTTTGCCTTTCTGGGTCTGGGTTACCTCACTCAGGATGGTTTCTTCTAGCTCCAAATATTCTTTTTTTTTTGGTTTTTACGAGACAGGGTTTCTCTGTATTGGTTCGGAGGGTATCGGTCCAGCCCAGCCTCGAACTCACAGAGATCCGCCTGCCTCTGCCTCCCGAGTGCTGGGATTAAAGGTGTGTGCCACCCCCGCCCGGCCAAATATTCTTGTTGTTTTTCTTTTTCAAAAAATGTTGTATCGAGGAAACACCTGAATTGTTAATTGTGGATGAAGGCTTATGAATACAGAGCATGGTCTAAGCAGTTGCATATTAGCTGGAGGCATTGCCATGTGTATTCTTTCTGAAGTACAGGGACTCTGGACCTGTTGTTGCTCATGGTGAAATGTTCCCTGTTTAAACATAAAAATACACAAAACTCAGCTGTAATCTATTTAGAATTTCCTCCCTCCTTAAATGTGAACTAGGTTTCTTCCTGAAAGGCTGAGACCCCAGGCTGTGATGATCTTGACTGACATTTGAAGTGTGTGGTCACTGCTCTGTAGCACTCATCTCGTTCTACAATCTGAATGGACCTGTTTTCATTACTTTCCCTTCTCAGTTCTGTATTTTGTATTTTAAGTTGGAAAACTCTTAAAAAACATACCTGCAGGCCAGGCCAGGGACCCACGAGAAGCCCTGAGCCGTGGCTTTGGAAGGATATAAGAGGGACAAAGAGTCAAATACACTTTCTGGTTTTTGAGACAGTCTCACAGTAGCCAAGGCTAGCCTGGGTCTGGAACAGTCCTTTGCCTCAGTGTCCTAAGTGCTGGGATTACAGGAGTGTGTCACCATGCCCAGCCTTGGACAGCTCTGAGCTCCAGTTTGGCCAATCTGCTATTGGCTCAGAAGTCCTATGGGAAGAGAACTCTGGGGCCTCGTGTGGGAATTTGAGCCAGGTGAGCACTGCTTGGGAAGCAGAGTATGGCTGAGCCAGAGAAACACTGATGCTAGCTAGCACTGATTTCTAGTGACAGAAACAGGACTCTTCTGCTTGTCTGTCAACACATAAGCTACTACATCAACAGAGGTCAGAAACCGACCCCTCCTCCCGCTGCCCTCTAGACAAAGGCTCCGAATATCTTGTGAGCCCTTGGAAAATATGCTAAGCTTCCACCAAGAAGAGCTGTGTCTGAAGATCCTTGGGACTAGCCAGGCCTTTCCTTTTTAGGTGAACAGGTGACAAGGGTACACCTGGACTCCACTGAAGGCAGGACCTCATGACTGGCCTCTTCCCGCTGTGACTGAGACCTGACTGTGTGTTGGAACATTTATAGAGCTTACTCACATTTTGGAGGGTTTTTTTTTTTTTTTGGACGGGGGATTAAACTTGAAAGATTTGGAGATTTGGAAAAGCAGTCATAAAAAAGGATCAACTTCAGGATTTGGCAAGTATGAAGTAATGACATAAATATGCACCTGTGGTTTTTTTGATTTGCTTTTTGGCAAAATCTTGTTTTCAGGAGGCTGGATTTTAATGTGGTTTCATTGCGTTTTTAATGTAAGTGTAATTATTGTGCTTTTGCTAAAAGAGCTGGAGGCGAGAGAGTTGGCATTCCTTAGGGCAGTGCGTGTTGGACCTGCTTAAGTGTAGTAGGCTCTGGTCTTTAGCAGACACTCGCTGCCTTTCTTTCTGGCGAGAGTATAATCAAGGTTTAAATGCAGAGTTTTATTTCAAGCAGTTTTGAGAAGAGTGGCCTTATTTTTATTTATGGATCCATGGCTCCTAAGTATACAGTTTTTGTTTTGTTTTTAAAGAAAATGCCTAGATTTATCAGAAACAATAGTTTTTTTAAGCATGGAAAACCGTTTATTGTGAGGTCTCCTCAGTGATAAGTAGAAACACTTAGACATTAACATGTGGCCGTATTATTTTGAATCATAACAGTATTTTTATTGATCTGTCAGCTGCTTTTATAATTAACTGAAGTTTGAGAGTTTGTTTCATGACTAAGGAGAGCCATCAGGTTTATATATTTGATTTTAGTCATGTTTAAATGTGTGTTTTACAGAGTGATCTTAATTCAGAACTGAAAAATATCAGATGGATTTATTGAAGATGATTTAATGGCTAATAACTATTTTGTTCGGGCTTGGAAGACAGAATAATCAAATTATTCATTCTTCTAGAAAATCTCCCTTTGCTTTTCATACACGAATTAGATATATTACAGTACTGAAAGTATCCTATAAAATCAAACCTTGAATGCAATGCTTTTGCCTTCTAAGATTTTTTTTTGTGGGGGTGGCATTATTGCCTGAAGAAGGCAAGAAGGGAGGGAAAGAAGTTATTACTTCTAAAGTTTTTTTTAATCCCTTCCAACACCTGCTTGTCAGAGAGCTTGTGAGGGCAGCTGGGAGTTTGGGAAGCTGTGTGTTGTAGTACTTTCGTGTAGGGCATCTTGTTTCTCACCAGCTATTTATAATTCTAGGTTCCCTGTGGTTATTCATTTACAGTAGGAACGTTTAGCTTCTCAGGTAGATGGTAACCCTTGTAAATGTACCTGCTAGTGCATCTAGGACCTAGCTAGCCATAATATTAGCCCCTCCCCCATCACTGCAAGGGTTTGACATCTGTTTTGCTTTGCTAGGAAAATTTAGTGTCCCTTCCCCCCAGGGTGCTTTACCATCTTGGTCCCTGTTCCGGTGGAGATTGCTGTAGCAGGACACGGAGCGACTATGTCACATGGTGGGCAGTTGCAACTTGAGAAGTGAGGATTGATGGTTCTTTTGTTTTTAGCTCAGAACAATGGCTACTGTCACTGTCCTCTGTGACAGTATAGCTTGCACTGTGCTGTAGTTATTAAAGTGTATTATAAAAGTGTTTTTCTTTTTATGACAAATGTTGCGCCGTTTGCTCGATTGAAAGTTTCCTCATCTCTTGATGAGACACTCCTCTAATTCAATCTTTGTCTTTTGTCTTTGCTGCCTTGCAGGGTTGGTACAGTAGGCTTCACTAGACTTAGCTGCAACTCAGAATTTCTCCTCCAGCACCTGAGTAAATGCTGATGGTCTTGTGGATTAAGAGTACAAGCTAAATTCTCAATCCCATTTGAGAAGCGGAGGAAATGTAAAACTGTCTCCTTCCAAGCTTACCACAGCCACCACCATCAAGACAGCAAACAAAGGACAAAGACTTTGAACCGCAGTGTTGCTCTGTGTAGTCCAGTTCACGTGTGCTTTACAGACTTGGCTGGGTTACTAATAAGTAAATACAAAGTTGGACGCTTCTGTCATTCGGACGTTTGATTCACAAGTTACCAGAATGAGGGCGGTACTGGAGACAGCAGACATTGCCATAGTGGCCCTGTATTTTGTCCTGGTCATGTGCATTGGTTTTTTTGCCATGTGGAAATCTAATAGAAGCACTGTGAGTGGATACTTCCTGGCCGGGCGCTCTATGACCTGGGTGGCAATCGGTGCCTCTCTGTTTGTGAGCAATATTGGGAGTGAGCACTTCATTGGGCTGGCAGGATCTGGAGCAGCAAGTGGACTTGCAGTGGGCGCATGGGAATTCAATGCCTTACTGCTCTTGCAACTTCTGGGATGGGTTTTCATCCCTATTTACATCCGGTCAGGGGTATACACTATGCCTGAATACTTGTCCAAGAGATTCGGTGGCCATAGGATTCAGGTCTATTTTGCGGCCTTGTCTCTGCTCCTCTATATCTTCACCAAGCTCTCAGTGGATCTGTATTCAGGGGCCCTCTTTATCCAGGAGTCCTTGGGTTGGAACCTCTATGTGTCTGTCATCCTGCTCATTGGCATGACGGCCCTACTGACTGTCACCGGAGGCCTTGTCGCAGTGATCTACACAGACACGCTACAGGCTCTGCTCATGATTATCGGGGCACTCACACTTATGGTCATTAGCATGATGGAGGTTGGAGGGTTTGAGGAAGTTAAGAAGAGGTACATGTTGGCCTCACCCAATGTTGCTTCCATTTTGTTGACATACAACCTTTCCAACACAAATTCATGTAACGTCCACCCTAAGGTTGATGCCCTAAAAATGTTGCGAGGTCCAACAGATGAAGATGTTCCATGGCCTGGATTCATTCTTGGGCAGACCCCAGCCTCGGTATGGTACTGGTGTGCTGACCAAGTCATCGTGCAGAGGGTTCTAGCAGCCAAAAACATTGCTCATGCCAAAGGCTCTACTCTAATGGCCGGCTTCTTGAAGCTTCTACCGATGTTTATCATAGTCGTGCCCGGGATGATCTCCAGGATTCTGTTTGTTGACGACATAGCTTGCATCAACCCAGAGCACTGCATGCAGGTGTGTGGGAGCAGGGCTGGGTGCTCCAATATTGCTTATCCGCGCCTGGTGATGAAGCTGGTTCCTGTGGGCCTTCGGGGCTTGATGATGGCGGTGATGATTGCGGCTCTGATGAGTGACTTGGACTCCATCTTTAACAGTGCCAGTACCATCTTCACCCTGGATGTGTACAAACTTCTCCGTAAGAGTGCAAGCTCCCGGGAACTAATGATAGTGGGTAGGATATTTGTGGCTTTCATGGTTGTCATCAGCATAGCATGGGTGCCAATTATTGTGGAGATGCAAGGAGGTCAGATGTACCTCTATATTCAGGAGGTGGCAGATTATCTGACCCCTCCGGTGGCAGCCCTCTTCCTTCTGGCAATTTTCTGGAAGCGCTGTAATGAGCAAGGAGCTTTCTATGGTGGAATGGCAGGCTTTGTTCTTGGGGCCGGCCGTCTGATACTGGCTTTTACCTACCGTGCTCCTGAATGTGACCAACCTGATGACAGGCCAGCCTTCATCAAAGACATCCATTATATGTATGTGGCTACAGCATTGTTTTGGATCACAGGACTCATTACTGTAATTGTTAGTCTTCTCACACCACCTCCCACAAAGGACCAGATTCGCACCACCACCTTTTGGTCCAAGAAGACCCTGGTAACAAAGGAGAGCTGCTCTCAGAAAGACGAACCATACAGAATGCAGGAGAAGAGCGTTCTGCGGTGCGCTGAGAATAGTGAGATTGTCAACCACGTCATTCCCAATGGGAAGTCCGAAGACAGCATCAAGGGACTGCAGCCTGAAGATGTTAATCTGCTGGCGACATGCAGAGAAGAGGGCAACCCAGTAGCTTCCATGGGTCACTCAGAGGCGGAAACACCAGTAGACACTTATTCCAATGGGCAGGCAGCTCTCATGGGTGAGAAAGAGAGAGAGAAGGAAACAGAAAACAGGAGCAGGTATTGGAAGTTCGTAGACTGGTTTTGTGGCTTTAAAAGTAAAAGCCTTAGCAAGAGGAGTCTCAGAGACCTGATGGACGAGGAAGCCGTTTGCTCACAGATGTTAGAAGAGTCTCCACAAGTAAAAGTGGTCTTAAATATTGGACTTTTCGCTGTGTGTTCACTTGGAATTTTCATGTTTGTTTATTTCTCCTTATGAACCTAAGGACGTGGTGAGACACTTAAGAAAATACTGGTCTTTGGAAACAAAATGTAACTGTTGCATCTCTCAGGCATTGTTTACGCTGAAGGTTTTAGCCAAATTTTACTTAGCAGAAAATCATCGATTTGCAAGACTATTTTCCCAGAGATGGATGAAAATAAATCTTCAACTTAAATGAAACAAAACAGACTGAATTGTGCAAAAAAAAAAAAAATAAATGTGGTTTTAGAGTTTTTCATACCAAAGTGAGGAAAGACCAATACTTCTCATAGATCACTTAGAGCAGAGCGTGTTATGGTATCTTATAAAGTGTCTTGTCTGCATTGCCAAGTCTTAGTAGACCTTATGCTGAAGTAGATTTGCTCACTTGTAAGGTTTTTGTCTCTAATCCCTGCTATGATTACAAAACTGAATCGTAGAGACTGTGTGAGTACTTCTGTCCTGACAGTCTACCGTGCTGTATAGTAATTACTTCAGGACGACGCTGTCTGTGTGGTTGGTTTTGTTAGCATGAGTCTGTGGATTCTGCTTGCCAAAAGAAAGGAAGAGTGTTTTCCTGTAGGTGTTTTGTACCACGTGTATGTGGAATGTTAGTGCTTCGGGGCAGACTTTGTTTAAACCCCTCCCTATGTTTTCTTCTTACTTAAACTGAACCATGCCGAAATGACTATCAAGTCTGTCTATAATTATTTTTTAATGGGGGGAAGTAAATACTGCTGATGATCCCCACATTTATTGACCAAATAAGGTTTTAAAATATAGTTTGAGATTTAGCAGCTATCATGCAGTGCTTGATAAACTTTGCTAAGAGAATTATGAGTCATCTCCTACCTGTTTTCTAGCTGCTTCCTTGTCATTTTGTAACATTCCTTCTTAATTAGCCAGATGCCTCCTCAGAGGTGTCCAGTTGTAAGAAAATATTCAGTGTCATACAGAAAGCTGGCACAGGTTCTGTGTGCTGGGTTGTGGCACTAGATTAGCTTGTGACACCCTGATGTTGTGTTTAGAGGAAACAGCAAACTCCATACTGTGTTTTCTGTAAGTCCTTCTCCTGCTTTTTGTCTTTCTTGAAGATTTGCCGCAGGTGTACGGCCATACCGTCACCGTCAGCACATGAGTGCGTTTCCCTACAAAGTGGCCGTCAGTCACAAAACACTCTTCACCCTTGCTGTTGATCAGTGTAGGGTTTCTGTACAGTGGCCAGCGTGTTCAGGAGTTGCCATGAACAGAGACTTCTGGGTTTAGCAGTGAGCTCGAGGAGGATAACAAGGCTCTCATATGGACCTTTGCCTTGGCTTAGTATCCAGCTGCAACATCCATGGGCAGTGGATCTTTTTTATGGGCTGTTTCTCCTTAGTGAGTATGGTACAGAAGGAATTAGAGAAAATCTTGTGGATCATGTGTATGTATAGTCCTTTGTCTTCAACCCTGCCTGTTCACCTCCATAAGAGATGAAGAAAGCTACTTACATGTACCTACTTTCTTTAAGCTAATAACTTTTAAAATTACATAAGAAATTTGTTAACCCTTGTACTCAAGGAGAATTATTACTTTTATAGATCATTTTGTAGATTTTGAATCAAAACTCAATCTTGATAACTTTTTTTTTTAATGCATCAACTTGTTTGCAGGCAATGGACTTGAGTCCAACACTGACTTTCAGGATCATTGGGTACATGCCGTCTTCCTGTCTTCAGGAGATTTTCTGATGGACTGATGTGTAGATGGAAAAAGTTATGTACGAATAGCATGTATTTCTGAAGAACTTAGAGTGCCTTGTACAATTTTTCCTCTCAATTTCTATTTTGAGGTTTATAACCTAGGGGCCAAGTTGATAGGGACCACCCTTTTCTTGAATGGAGGCTGAGGCTATGATGTGACCAAGGCTATAGAACATTTTGGAAAGATGAGAAATCAGTTCTCCAAATCTGGATTTAGAGTTTGCCCACGTGTGTTTGAGTGAATGGTTTGTTTGTGGTTTCTGACAGTCTTCTCTTAAAGAATTTGAGATAACCTTCAGGCTTTGAAAACATCTACAAGATCTTGAGTTGTTCAAATTTGTATTAAGTTGTAGGAGTTAGTATTACCTTTGGACACACCCTATGCACTTAGCAAGGATTTTGACACATTGGCTGAGTGGCCTTCCTAACCCTTGTTTTTAGAGCATAGATGAATAGGTGTTTATGTGAATTCCGCCTTTATCTAATGTTGAGTCCTAATAATTTGGAACGCTAAGAGTCTTTTTACCCTCTTTTTGTTGTCTTGTAGTGAGCTACATAAAATTCATAATCGTGTCTGTGCATAAATAGCAGTAGGTCAAACTTAGAGTACTAGTGTTTGTAAATAAGGAGTGACTTAGCATATCCATTAGGTATTTATTCTTATCAGTGTGAACATCACTTTATTGACTCCGAAGTCCCTAACACTTGTCTTCCTTACTGCTTCCCACGAATAGATACTCTGATTGAGTAAGCATGTGATTGGTGATGGCTGCTTCATTTCAGGAGACCAGTCTTTAGCCTAGGTTGTTGGAATGATCTTGGAGTGATACGTGATAATGTCAGGCTAGCAAAATGTTCCTCCTTCACATGGATATATGAGTCCTGAGAGATGGCACGGATCTGTATAGACATCTACACATGCAGTCTGTGCTTGTGTCAACTAGGGTTCTGAATTGACCAAGACCGACACTGACTAAAATAGTTTGGTTTACAAAGGTAGGTGAGAAACGGTTATCCTCTGTATGTGATAGACCAAGCTTCTAGATGTTTTGTCTTCCCAGGCACTTGGTGTCTGGGTCTAGAGCGAAGGGCTTTTGACGGTGGCCTGGAGGATGATTGTTGACTCTTCTGTGGGACTTGGGGTTTCTCTTTCATTTCAGAAGATTGTGTCCTGCCATCCCAAGAATAAACAGCTGGGCCAATCTCTCCTTCAGCTGTTCTTTCCTGGTAGTGATTGTCTTGGTCTTCAGAAGGCTCTTGGCTCATTTCCAGTGTTCCCTTCTCACTGGCTTAAAGAGCCGTCATTACCTTGCACAGAGGAGCTGACCAGGCTTGTGTGTCCTTGTCTCTTAGAGATGTTTCTGTAATAAATTAGCGTGACCTTTCACTTTGTGAAACTTCCCAGTTAAGAATGGACCAGTGGAGTTTCTGAGCATGGGGTTAAAAGCATTGTCGGGTTAAATTCCAAGTGCATGATCTTCTCATCTCTTTGAACGTCACTTAGTGTAGTCTATGGATAAGTCCCCCCCCAAATAAATAAGCTGTGTCATTCCCATTGAGAGATTAGTTCTTGCAGCCTCTCATTTGACTGGTACTACACAACCATGATTGCTTCATTCCCTCATGCCTTATTCCCTATCACATCTTCTTTGGAGGTATGATGCAAAGGGACCACATAGGTATCTAGTAGTGACAGCTCACCATTCCCTAGGTTTTATGCTGAAAGACCATTCCTGTTAAGTCATGAGACTGCAGAGCCTTGTTGGCGCACGGTTTTTCTAGCAAATAGTAATAATAAGCTTGAGATGTTGACAAGTGCATATGTAATAACAGATGTGAACAGACTGATAAGAGCAAACTAGTTTAAGATCTGTAGAGGAAAAAGGTCACATTCACTGAGTTCCAGAACTTCAGGCATCTGGGCTGCCAGCTACTATAAGCCCCACCCCAGGGCGTGAGGCCCAGCTTAGTAACCCCCAGTTTAATGTTAACATGATAGAGGCTAAAGTGGCTGACATCTAATAGTGGTATTTTAGTGAAAACCATGCTTGTAGGCTTCATTATCTCTGGGGTTTCGTTTTGCCTAAGCAGAGTTTACAAATGGCTTCTGGTTATCTTGTCTCCATTGCTTCTTAGTTGTCACCTGCTCTTTATTTCAGACCTTTCAGATTTCCTGTTTAGCACTTGGTTTTTGTTTTTTTTTTTCCCCACATACTCTCTTGATGTGCAGATGTCTTGCTTTGCCCAGTATTGAGGACTTACAACCAAATAGTGATTCATTAAATTATAGTTAGGTTTAAAATCCCAAACCTATAGTAACTAAAAATGTTAATGAGAATAAATGTTTATATTGGTTAATAATAAAAGCACCAGTGTTTCCGTATTTTTAATCAGGGGACAATAGTGAGTTTTTGTAGCTGTCCCTAGGAAACGATGATGATGGTGTCAGGTGACCCCGAAAGACTCATTTTTTCCATGAAGGCAAAAGTTTGAAATTAGTTGGTATAGAGAAACTCTTGTGCTGTTAGGTACAATGCTTGGGCAGGACCCTCCCACGATCACCTCTCCATTTGCCGTGTTCCTGTCACACTGTCCTGAACACTGTAGCTGCTCAGCCACTTGACTTCTAGGAGTGAAGTGAGCTGAGGTTCTGTGTAAGAGTGTTGTTAGCGTCACGTCCCACACTTAGTCATGTGTTTTCTTTTAAAGTTCTCACCACTGACTGGTCTTTTAACAACGTTGTGAAATTGATGCCTTTTATGTTTCTGTCTCCACTCCTTTATGAAAGGCGAGGTTTAGTTTGAGTGTGAGCTGCCATTTTTCTAGCAACCAAGAGCGGTTGCCCTGTAGCCTGTTGCTGAGAAAAGAGATGTAGTGTGTGTGTCGTTACTCATCTCGTGCACTTGACTCCAGAGGTGTGTGCGTCCTGTGAGCTCTGTGGGTGGCCTGAGTCCTCGTAAGTGTGGGGGCAGTGGCTTTGCTGTGCCTAGGAAGGCCAAGGAGTTCCGTGATTCTGTGCTGGCACCGTTGTCCTCCTGGTGTCTGGTGACTCTGCTAGGGATTTTCTGGACAGCACAAGTTGACAGGATATACCCACCGCATAATTAGATCAGTTTGCCCTATTTTCCTAAGCACTGCTGGATATAGAAATTTATATGTAAAGAATATACACACTAATTTATAACTCAATTTATCAGTGTAGCCTAGGCTTCTGAAACAGAATGTCGTGAGTGTGTGTGTGTGTGTGTGTGTCTGTGTCTGTGTCTGTGTAAATTGGAAAGAGATTGGGCTTATTAAAATCTTCAAATGGCAGTTGCTACTATGCCGGGTTTTCCCTCCACAGTGGAATCCAATTCTGAGGTTTGTGCTTAGGTTCTGGGTAGCTCTCTGCTTGCCAGTGTTGATGTGTGCTAGTTTGCACCTGTCCCCTCCGTGGCAGTGAGCTCCCGGTGCTGTCCGGAGCTTTTAGTGTAACTAGTGAAGAAAGCTAACAGAAAGTACACGTTTACACACTTTTATGTGTAGTCTTTTGCTCATGGAAACAAGGCAGTCGAGTATATGTATTGTAGCTTTAATGTTATTTATTCATCCTATTTGCTTTTATATCTATAACTAAAAATTTCAAGTTACATTATGAGTATATTTTAGAATGGTCCAGTTTAGGTTGTTTAGGGCGTCTGAGAACTCCTGTAACAGTAGTTCATCCATGTGTGAGGAGAGAGGAAAGGTCCACAGAAAGCACAGAGCCGTGTTCACACGTGTGTGTCTTCACTGCTAAAAAGCACAAACCTAATAGCATCCTCACTAACCCGCAAGTGCAAGTCATAAACCACCACGTCTCTGTCCCGGGTCGTCACAGCTGTGACCTCAGTGTCACAGCTGGGTCCTCAGTCTGTCTGTTGCTCTGATGGAGAGTAACTGCTTATGTTTGGGCTTGTTAGGAAAAGAGGTCTGTGCACACAGACCCACAATCTGAAACTAGACCTGGGCAGTCGGGTTTCTGGTGGGCAGGGCAGGTGACAGCTTTGTAAACGATAGTTATTTGAATATTTAAGAAAACAAAATCTTGTCTAGAAGAAATGTATTTGTTTTTTACAGTGCTCTAAAAACATGAAAAAATTCACATGAAATAGTACAAATACTATAATGGTCTCTTGTATAGGTTTACACAAGGTGACATTACCTTTATTTTCTTTATGTGCTTTACTCTTTAGTAGTGAGTTGGATCTTTGTGTTCCAAACATCAAACTATTTCTGGACAGATTCGACATGACATTGCTTTCCATAATGGCACTGAGTCTTTTAGTGTGTTCTTTCTGTTAGCTCCTCAACACTAGATGGCTGGGAAACTGTGGGTGTGCGTGCAGAAGGGGCAACGGCATTTCCTCCCGCCCAGCACCGCCCTCCCCGTTTTCCTCACCTCCACATAGTCCCGTGTCTATGGGAATGAAAATGTGGGCCTCAGCAAGAGAGCGCTTCCTACTCTGTGTGGGTATTTCTCTTCTTAGGGATAGGCTTGGAACCCTCGTTGTAATTGTTATCCACTAATGTGACCTAAAACACAGACAAACAAGCAAAAGCAAGGTCTTGGTGTGTGATAAATCTTAGCATAGTTCACATGAACACTGGTGAGATTTCTCCCTCCAGCAAGGAGCTAGGTGTGTGTACTTACAACAGCCTTTTACAACAGGTAACCTTGAGATTCCAGGGTCGGGGTGAGGGGCTGAGGGGAGAAGTGTGTGAGGAGTAGCCTTGGCTTAGCCATATGTGAGTGTGGAGCAGTTAACCTTTGACCTGTGTATTCTGTACCTTTAAGAGTTTATTACAACTTTTTGAAATGCTTTTTAAAATTTCTTTGGCAGAAATGATTTTCATTTATAATCTTATGGAAAACGGCTTTAATTATACTAAGTGAAAAGTAGTCATAGTGTAAATATGTATAATTTCCTAATTTCACTGTGAGATCTCATACTTTTGAGTGGCGAACAGATCACCAAGTCTTTTGCTCATGGACTTGTGGGGTTAACAAGATGTAAAAGCTTTATTATTATTATCTTTAATAGGGACATACTACAGTAGTGTCTGATGATAGTACGGAACCATTCCTCTGCTGCCCTGGCCATTTTTGCTTCTGTCTGTGAGCACCTGCAGAGTTGAGCCCCGGCAGGGGCTTGCCTGTCCCTTGCTCGGACGCCTTGCTCTGTCTAGAACTGTTGGTAATCACTATATGAATTGTTAGGCTTTTCTGCTTTTATTTTTCTTTTTTGACAAAATGGATATCAAAAATAGTTGCTGTGCAAAAGTTAGTAGTCTTCTTCAAGAAGAGAACCATTCCTTTTCTAATAATACCCTGTGAAATTGCTTCATTCATTCCTTTATTTTTAAGCCAAATGTCAGCGGAAACTGCTGCTTTTATCTAAATCATTTTGATATGTAAGTATTAATGCATTTTAAAAGATGTCTGCTTGAGAAATATTTTCCCAGCTACTGCCTTTGAAAGTCTGACTAGGAGGCCAGTCAGTGCATTGGGCTATGTATTATGTACATGTATCATTTTAGTCTGGTATTGTAGACCAAATATGGTTATAATGGAGTTGATGAACATTCATTTGCTATTGGTTAGTTTTGAATTATTTCCAGTTTACTATCTGTTGTCCTCAGCCTCTTTCGTGTTCAAGTTTGACTAATAAGGTTCATTTCGTTGTGTAAGGTATTAGTTTCAAAGAAATTAGAATTTACTTCCATCTTGAAAACAGTTACAACTGTAGATTTAAAATTGTTAACTATTTGTGACAATTCTAACTTGCCTATACTGTATACAACTGATTTTTAAAATTGTAGAATTGTATGATCTGGGTTTACTGTGTTGTGTTACTGTTGTTTAAAAATGGCAAAAAAAAAAAAAAGAAAAAAGAAAAAAAAGCAAATCCGCTAAAGAGCTGTCAGCTCCTGTTGCTGACCGCAAAATGCGCCTCTCCGTGCGCTCGCGTTATCTTGCCAGCTGCTACATTACCGTCAGAAGTGTTGGAAACTAAGATGACCACATCTTGCAAAGTCCGTTCCTTTCTGTGGTATTTTGTCCTGTAACTGAAATGTAGAAATTATTTTATGAAGATGTTAGCACTTCTGTACCAACTTTGAATAAAATGAAAAATTTACTCTTCTGTGGCTCTTTGAGTGTGAATGCCTGTCCCCAAATTGTGTGTTGTGTCTCAGCTGAACAAGCCGTACTCCAGTGACTTCCTGCTGGCCTGGCTCTTGAGTGCTTCCACACTGGTATTCTCACTGTAACCATTGTGAGTTAACACTGACCCCAGAGTGGCTAAGGATGCATACTTAATGTAAAACATGGAGGAAATAAGAATACTCTTGGGGTTTTTTTCTTATGGCTTCAAAATCACTTCAGGTTACAGGGAAGTTACCGTAAGATGAGGGAATATAGGAATTGCCCTCATCCAAGCTGACCAGAAGTTAGTACTGCTTTGCAGACAAATCTTAATCTCTACTGCTTGCTCACATTGCTCCCTTTAAAGCTCTTAGTGCATTCTTAAGGCAAGGGTAGCTAATCATAATTATTACAAAATATAGAAAGTAACATGGAGTGTACAGTCCAAAGACGTCAGATGTTGCTGGTTGGCAACACCAAAGAGAAGTCATATAGACGCTGGCTGTTGCATTTAGCTTTCTGTCTCATGTCCCTTAATCTGAGACAGATTCCTTGTCCCAAGCCCCACGTTTGAGGTCAGTGACGCTGTGACTGCTCCACACTTGGGATCATCTTGTTTTCTTATATTTAGATCTGGACTGTGCATTTGGGGCAAGAATACACCTTATCGTGGTATGTTCTTGGAACTTACATTAGTGGACTGTTGTGTTGTCCTGTTGTGGCTGGGGTTAGTTGACACTTAGTCAAGGTGCTATCTGTATAGCTCCACTGTCAAGCGTTTTTTTTTTTTTTCTTTTGATAATGAGTAGTTTTTGAGAGGTAATTCCAGACTGAGAAAGCACTTACTAGTGTCCATCAAACTGTACCCCTAGTGTGAGCATCTACTTAAGAATTTTTGCTTAAGTTGTAACTGACAGCACAAAATGGCTTATTGTTGTGGACTACTGTAAATTATCCAGTAAGTCACAGGCCACTACTGTGATGTTTTTGTTTCTGTTTCCAGATTTACCTAATGAAACCTTCATAGAAGTTTCTGTGTTCTTTTTGACACGGTTCTATCAGTGTTCAGAACGCTCTAGGCTCGTCTTGTTCTCTCTCTAGCCCAGTTGGGTCAAGCGTCTGCTGGGAAATGGTCCAAGTGTGCTCATTGCTGTAGAGAATTACACCATCTCACCCTTTGTTGTGTAGGGCATCATCTGCTGGCCCTGTTCTCGTTAATCTATTTGGTGTGTGCGTGCACATGCCTGTGGGAGCCTGGCGTGACATTGTCTGTGTCCCTCAGTTGTTTGCGAACCTAACCCTGGTCTCCTAACCCTGAGCTTGCTGACTGTAGTTAGCGAACTTGTCCTGGTTTCCTGTCCCTGCTGGCCCAGTGCTGCCCGGCTTCTCCTGTGCTCTGCGGATCCAAGCTGGAGAAGCTGACAATACTGACCAAACTCTGTAGAATTAGAAGGCTTTTTATTTGCATATTTAGTATGTGAACGTTGGGAAACTTTCAGAACACTAGAAGCTAGTAGAATTTGGAAATTAATATGATTTTTTTCTGGCTTGTATGTTTCATGTTACAAGATTTCGTAATTGCAAGTTTGGGGAGAGTCTGGCCCCGCTGGGCTCTTTGAGTGTGGCGGCACCGCCCTGGGGTGGATGGGGTTGCTCTTTGTTTAGCCCTTGGGATGCTTTTTTGCTACATTTAATTTTCTTGCTCTTTTTAGCTATTTTTCCTCTTCTCGGAGGATTTTCTAAATGGTATCTCTAGTTTTTTTGGCTTTTGTTTTTATTTTTATTTTTTTATTTTTTGTGAACAAATTTAAGTAGCTTCTCTCAGGTTTTCATTTAAAGAGCCTGCTCTTCTGTGCCTGACTCTTGTGACAGCAATCGTGTTGTGACAAAGCCACTTTTACGGTAAACCTCTAACCATGAGTGTGTCAGTCATTTCCAGTGGTCTACTCCTGATATCTTCACCGTAAATGTTGGGACAATGGTTCTCACACATGCAACCTGGGGGACACAGGTGTGCTTCTGAGGACACGGGTTCCAGGTCCCTTGCCATCTTTGTCTGTTTTAGACAGGGTCTGTGGAGTGAGGAGTGCAGACTGGCCGTGGACTCGGCATCTTTCCATTTGAGACACGCAGACACGGGCCAGGTCCCCTGTGAAGGTCATTACCACCTTCATCCTTGTGTCATATAGACAGCTAGGCGGATGAGGCCTGCTTTTCGAAAATCTCTGACTTGTGTTTTGTATTCCAGATCAGATACTGCTAATGTTTATCTGGCAGTGATGAGAAAGGCATAACACATGCACCTGCACACATGGACACACATACATCCCAGACAGACACACACCACAGCACAGCACACACAGCACACACAGCACACACCACATACACCACACCACACAGTACACAGCACACCACCACACATACCACAGCACACCACACCAGAGCATACCACACACACCACACAGTATACAGCACACCACACCAGAGCATACCACACACACCACATAGCACACCATACACAGCACACACAGCACGCCACACAGTACACAGCACACCACACCAGAGCACACACCACAGCACACACAGCACAGCACACACACTACAGCAAGAAAAGTCGGGGCAGCCAGTGAGGACTGCTGCCTCTGACTCGCCCCCCTCCCAGTCCCAGGGTTGCACGCTGTGGTTGCACGCTGTGGTCGCCCTGCAGCCCCTGTGCACTTAGGGTCTGCTAACCCTGCTTTCATAGCTTTTCAGAGTCTTTTAGTTTTTGTAGCTCCAAATTCGCTGTGTGCTTTAGGAGTTGAGCATCTGCTGATAATGAGTGATAATGAGGTTGGTTGATTTCATCCCGAGTAGCTCTAGAAGTCTGAAGACATGGTAACTAACTGAATGAGTCTTCCTAGCGCCTCCTGGTTACTTCTGGTTCCTGTACTCTAGCTCTGGTTTTGAGTAAGAAATCCACATTTGCCTTATTATGGGATGTGCTTTTGTCTTACACATGTCTGCCTTTCAAAAAGAGGATTTGTTTCCTTGCAGTGAAGATTGTATTTCTTCTGTTTTCTGACTGTTTAATCCCTTTCTCTTTTCCAGTTGGATCAGAAAGTGAGAGCTCTCATGTTTTGACTCTCTGACTTACATATTCATCATATGTGTGCTGAACACACAGTGTGCCAACTTCTGCCCTCTCCAGGGACGTGAGGTTGAGATGCGAGCTAAGAGGTTTAGCTCAGGAACAGGCATTCCTGCATGGCTCCCCTGGTCAAATGCTCAGGGAGTCACCGAGGAAAAGCATGCTTCGAGCTTCTCAAGTAGCTGGATCTCAGTGACCACCTTTATCTTATAATTCTGTGGCGCTTGTGTCTGTCCACCCTGTTTTTCATGGCTGAAGAAATAATTCAGCACCTTCCTCTGTCACCTAATTTCAGCACGTCTGCCGTGGCCTAGCTGATGGCGCTCTATTCTGCCGCACAGCCAGATGTGCAGTTCCGTGTCCTGTACCCTTTCTTACAAGGGTAAAGAACACTCCTCCCAATATAGTTATCTCATTAGTATCTTTCTAAATATTGCCCTGGCATTTAGAAGATTCACAGAACCTAACTAGAATTTCCTTATGAATCCTTTGTCTTTGCTGTCAAAATCCTTTGTTGATTCAAACCTTCCATGGCATCCCTGGCTCTCAGTGCTGTCCTCCATGTGTGAAGAGGTTGAAGTAGGTGGTAAAGGCAAGGACTAGATTGTGCACAGAGGGAGCAATCAGCAAGACAGCTCCTCCGTAATCTCTACCTGACCTCTGCCCTCACCATCCATTTCATGAACTGCGGCATTTCATTTACTTGCTGCCATGGTAACCAGGACTCCTGCCTGTCTTTCTGTCTCCCATTCTTTACTCATCTGGAAGGGGTGGGGAAGATGGAAAGGACCCAGAGGAGGACCCTGGGTTTGGGAATGTTGTCAGAATAGTTGTAAACATGGGCGTCTGAGTTTGGTTTTGTTACCTGCTGATGAGGTAGGAGCCCCAAGTAGCCACCCCCTGGGACCGCTGTTCTCCACTTTGTCATAGAGAAAACACAGCACACAGTGAAATGCTCAGCCAGAGAGAAAACACAGCACACACACACACAGTGAAATGCTCAGCCAGAGAGAAAACACAGCACACACACAGTGAAATGCTCAGCCAGAGAGAAAACACAGCACACACACACACAGTGACATGCTCAGCCAGAGAGAAAACACAGCACACACACACAGTGAAATGCTCAGCCAGAGAGAAAACACAGCACACACACACACACAGTGAAATGCTCAGTCATATAACGGTGAGCTCATGTCAGTTGCACCAGAAAGTTTGTGTCTGAAGGTTGCATAGTGCTTAAGCAGGCACAGGACACAACACTGTAGGTGCTTACTTATGACGAAGCCAGGTGAGTTGCCCCACAGAGGTAAAGAACAGATTAATTTCCAGACACTGGATAAAGAGAAGTTAGTAATAGGTACAGACAGGAGGAGGGAAAGCACTGTTGTTTTGCAGCAAAGAGGGTAAATAAGAAATTAAAATGCATTTCAAAATAGCTAGGAGAATGGATTTCCCATTCCCAACACAAAGAAGCACCTGGTGTCGGGTAAGAAGGCGGTTGCTCTGCTCTGAGAGCTGCACGTTGTGTGCGTGTATTGAGCTCCACGGTTTCTGTGACAGCTCTTCATTGGTTATTATAAAACACATCAGTTAATAAAGCGTAATCGCGTAAGCAAGTGTAGATCCTCTCTTTAGATAGCTATACAGCTGGCGTTTTTTCATACTTTACCTGTGTGTGCACACACATAGAAAATTAGGTGTTTTTATTGTTGAGTGTATGTTTATTATTAGCAGGCTTTATTGGCTGCTGAGGTGGAGTGGCAGGGACAGAAAGAACCAGCTCCCACAGCTGTTCTTCCGGGGCATGTCCCTGTGCGCACACACGCCGTGAGTGAGTGTGAGTGAGTAAGTGTGAGTGA